CTAGAGGCTAGGTAACCTGTCCAGGGCCATACAGCCAGGAAGCAGGTGAATCTTTGTGATCTCCATGTTTGGGGATCATGTGTGCAGCCGAGGAGGGAGGCCCGCTGCTGGCCCTGAGCCCTCACCCTCCTTGGGAGGCCTCTGGGCCTGTGATGCTGTCTCTGAGGGTCCAGGCCATGCAGAGCCTGTCAGTATGTTGAGGCCCCAGCAGGAGCCGGAGCCCCTGCAGCTGGCTTGGCTGACCCTTCTTCTCCATGAGGGTCACCTTGGAGCCAAGGAGGAAGGTCTGGGAGTCAGAGCCACAGGTCACTGGAGTGGAGTGGGCCTATCTAGAGGCTTTGCAGAAGACCCCCTGGAGCAAGGCTCTTGCAGGAGCTCCTGCACTTGGTGCCTGCCTGTGTTCTGAGGTCTGGCATGGCAGGCAGAGCCCTCCAGAGTGTGGTGAAGGCAAAGCCAGGAAACGACTTTGGCTCAGAAGCTGAGGTGGGAAGGGGGCTTTGGGCTTACCCATGTGACCTTCTCCCCACCTCGGGCTGTGTTCTGGATGCCAGGAAACAGAGAGCCCAGGGCAGCCCCTGTCCTCAGCAGCTGATGCTCTAGTGGGAGGCAGATGGTAAACGCCTGGGGGGTGGGGGGTCACGATTGTTAACTGATCATCTGTAGCTACTTGGGAAGCTGAGGCCAGAGAATCGCTTGAGCCCAGGAGTTGGAGGCTGCAGTGAGCTATGACTGTGCCACTGCAATCCAGCCCAGGCCACAGAGTGAGACCCTGTCTCTAAAAATACACAAATGGACAAAAACTACAGATGGTCAGGAAGGGCCTGGCTGAGCAGCCCTCTGAAGGCCTGAGGGGAGGAGGAAGAGCCCTGTGGGTGTCGGGGAGAGCGTTTCGGCAGAGGGAACAGCCAGTGCAAAGACCTTGCACCTCCTGTGGTTCTATGGCTGTTCTGTGGTTCTGCTGCTCTGCGTGTCTCACCTGCCAGGTAGGAATACTCCCAGGAGCTCCAGGCCTCGGTGCTAGCTCAGGACAAGTACGTTCCTCTCCTCCACCACCGTCAGTGCCAGTGATATTTTTCTTATTACAAAGACCGCAGAGACATGGCCCTGCTGTGCGGCGGTGGCCTGAGTGCTCCCCTCTGGCTGGGGAGGCTGAAGCCTGGCCCCTAGCCCCAAGCCCCTCCTGCAGGGTGGTCCTGGGCCCCACCCAGTGTCCTGGCCCTCGGCACTGCCCTGACCTCATGCTGCCACGAGTTGCTGTTGGCCAGGCCTGGGAATCTCAGGCCTCCAGGTGCGAATTCCTCCCGGGCTGGTGGAACTGTCATCACAGAGCCACCGGCCCGTGCCCTGGGCCAGAGCGCCTGCCCTTGTCCTTGTCCTCTGCCTGTCCATTGAACCTGAGGCCAGTGCTGGGACCTCATTCACACCAGTGACCACCCCATCCAAGCCTCCCTTCATCCTTCCTGAGTGTCTTGGCCTCTCCCAGCCCCTCCCCTCCATGGGCTCCCTCCGGAAGGCCTACCACTGCCCTGCCCCAGCTCGCTTCTCCCAGGGAGGGGCCTGAGCCTGCTGCGGCCCTCTGTGCTCAAGACCCCTTGCTGGGGCTCTGCTCAGCAGCTGCCTGTGTCCTCTGACTGCAGTCCTGGGCTCCCCTGGGTCCACCACCTTGCTGGCCTCATGCTGTATGTGTGTGTGTTGAGGGGGAGGGGACTGGGAGGAAGGGAGGGGAGGGAGGGTTCAAGCACAGAGCATGGGTTGGGTGGGGAGGGTACAGGGGCAGAAGCCCAGGGACTGAGGACTGGGACATGTACAACCAGGCCCTGGTGATCTTCTGTCTTGGCCGGGCAGGAGGTGAGAACCTCTTCAGCCCTCTTACTCTGCAACCATTTTTTTTTTTGATTGGTGACTGGGGCTGTCTGTTACCTACCCCTTTAAAAAGTAATTTATTGAGGTGAAACTCATATCACATAGAACCTGAACAGTGGCAGGGCTCAGTGGCTCAGCTTGTAATCCCAGCACTTTGGGAGGCCAAGGCAAGTGGATTGCCTAAGCCTGCGGGTTCAAGACTAGCCCGGGCAACATTGCACGACCTTGGACCTATAATAAGTAAAAAAATTAGCCGGGTGTGGTAGTGCGCGCCTGTAGTTTCCAGTTACTTGGAAGACTGAGGCGGAAGGATCGCCAGAGCCCAACAGGTCGAAGCTGGGGTGGCCATGAGAGTGCCATTGCACCCCAGCCTGGGCAACGAAGTGAGATTCCAACTCAAAAACAAAACAAAACAAAACAAAAACAAACCTGAACAGTGCAGTGGCACTGAGTACATTCACAATATTGTGCAACTACCACCCCTCTCTAGTTCCAGAACATTGTCATCACCCCAAAAGGAGACCAGGGACCATTAACAGTCACTCTGCATTCTTCCCCCCAGGCCTGGTGGCCACCAGTCTGCTTCCTGTCTTCTGTGAACATTTCACGTAAATATGTGGCCTTTTGTGTCTGGCTTCTTCCACCCATCACAGCTTATCTTTTTCCCTACCTAGCATAGCTTTAATTTAACTTTTTACTCTGAAATAATGACAGAGGCACAGGGGGTTGCAAAAACAGCACAGAGAGGTCCCACGTGGCCCAGGGCCTCTGAGTCCTCTCTCGAGGAGAGGCTGGCTGCCAGGCTGGGGATTTGGTGCAGGAGAGGGGAAAGGCACCGCCGTCCCACTGAGGACCGACCCCGCCCCAGCAGGCTCGGTGCTGCCCCGAAGTCCTGGCTTACCTCTGAGATCGCGGGTCCTCCTCTCCTCCGGCTGCGTGCTGGCCTGGGCACCGTCGCTGTGTGTGCGTGGCCCCTCTCCCGGCCGCCCCTCCTGCTGCAGCCCAGTGTCCTATCTGGGCAGCCAGTCAGGCCCCGACGGCTGCACTCTCCCTCCTGGGCTCTGGTCTGGTGCCTGGGTTGGGGGGAGAGGAGTAGGGTTTCACCCCTCCTCCCAGCAGCTGGCCGGGCAGGGAGAGGGGCTGGTTGTATTTTAAGCCGTTGAGTAGTTCAGCAGGAACTCGAAGGCCTCCTCTCCCAGTGGACGCTGGGCTGCCTTCCTGCAGGCCACACGGGCTAGAGGCATGTGGGCACTGCCCACTGGGCCCCAGGAACTATTAATATACCTGCAGCCACAGGGCAGGCCCCGTGCCCGCCCAGGCCTGCTAACCCTCCCCGGTGCATTCCACTGCATGTTCCCTGTCCCTCTTCCACAAGTCCCCTTGGTGGGGCCCTTTCCTGCCCTGACGTCCAGGAAGTGGGGCGAGTATATCTTGGGTGGGCAAACAGGCCCATGCACTGCAGCGACCTGCAAGCCAGCAGGGGACTGAGGCCTGAACCAAGCCCACATGCAAGGCTACCTCCCAAAGGGTCTGCTGTTCTGGGGTACTTCCCCTCTGTCAGGCATCAGGACCCTCATAGCCTCTGGAGGTAGACACCTTTTGACCTGTCCCCGAGCTGAGGCCCAGGAGAGGCGACGTGCCTGGGGATACCCAGGGACTGCAGGGCGTGACTGGATGTGGTGCTGGTGTGTGTGTGCACCCTGTCTCTCCTGTTGTGGCTGGCATGTGTGAAGGTGCATGGCTTCTCTGGCTTACCTGGGATGCCCTCTCCCTCAGGTGGGCTCCAGCTGCAGTGGACCCATCTCCCAGGCTCTAGGTGCATGGCATGCCCCTAGATGGCCTCTGCCTGGGGCCTTCCCCGGGGGTTCTGTGGGTGGGAAGGGTCCACTGAGACTGCGGGCCAGTGGGCTTGGGATCAGACCCTCCCTGCTGGCCATGACTTCTGTCTGACAGGGTCGTGTTGAGCCCCGCAACCTGGGCACCGCTGGGCTTCACCGCTGCAACCTTTCTGACCAGCTGGGATGGGTGGGTCAGGGCCCCTGGGCCCCTCCCTCCCAGCATGGCCCCTGTGCAGCTTTATTGTCTGTCACTCGCCTGGGGGTTCGGGAGGAGCTGGCCAGGCCTGGACCAGGAGGCACAGGAAGCTCAGGCTGCACGCCCTGGACTTGCGGGGCTTGGGTCCTGGATGGGGTGCAATGTTGGGCCAGTAGTGGTGGGACGCCTGCTGACAGGTTGCTTCCAGGTGAGAAACGGACAGAGAGGAGGTCGAGGTCGGGAGGCCTCAGCAGCCTGGGCCACGGGCACTTGCCTGAAACTTCCCCGCTCCCTGGACCCTTCCACACTTAGAGAGAGGCTCTCTGCACCAGTAACTCCGGAATCTGTCACCTCCCTGGGAACACACACACACAAGGAAAATAATCCGGAGTGTCTCTTACAGCTCAGAAGGGGAAATGGATGATCTATCTGGCAGATTCTCAAAATAGCTGGGATTTCTCCAAGCCCAGTGAGCTTCCTAGGCCTGAGCTGGGTGCTGGGGCCTGGGCTGCCCACCCGCCTGCTTCTAGCCCTCCTTTCGGTACTGGCTCTGGGCAGGAGGGCTGGAAGGTGCCACCATGCCCGCCCCTGGGGATCGCCCTGTCTCTGGTGCTGTTGAGGGGCTGTGTCTGCTCAAAAGCCTCTTTCAAGGCAACCCCGCTCCTGGGGGTTGACCCCAAACCCCCAGAGGAGGTCTGTGGATGACTCCTGGGGGGGGGGCTTGGTCTGGGGCGAGTTTATATTTAGTTGGGCCATGGCTCTGGTGCCACTCGGGTTACATCTGGCACAGAAGCCGGCAGCGCCAGGGCAGGCGCGGGCTCCTTTCCAGCACCGCGGCAGAATTTGATCGCGCCTGACCGGCCCAGAGCCGCTTCGTGTGGGGAGGTTGGTGGCGGGGGCTGACGGCTGGCAGCTGGGGCCGCTGGCACCGCGGGCAGAGTGGAGAGGCAGGGCCGGTGGCGGGCAGCATGGACGTGAACTTGAGCATGGTGGCCCGGGAAGCCACCCCGGGCCTTAGCCCTGGCCTCGGCCTCAATGGATTCCCCCGGCCTCTGCCCCCCAAGGCAGCCAAGAAACCTAAAAAGGCCGTTCTCTTCTTTGAGGTGGAGATTCTGGACGCCAAGACGAGGGAGAAGCTGTGTTTCCTGGATAAGGTAGGACGTGGCGTTGGCCACACTGGGCCAAGGGCACTGGGCCTGAGACCCTGCTCCTTCCAGCCCAGGAGCTGTCGAGCCGGGCCCTTTGTGCCCCACCCCCTGTCCTTTGGAGGGCGCACGAGGGGTACTGTGGGTAGAGTGAGTAGCCGCGGTCCCTGGGTGTGGCCGGGAGCTGGCTGGGAGCTGGCCTCCTGGCTGGGGGAAGAAGCAAAGCAGCCTCAGTGGACCCTGCAGGGCTTGGAAGCAGTGAGGGAGATGGAGGAGGAGCCCTGCCTCTGCCAAGGCCAGGCCTGGGGGAAGGGGCTTGGACTGCCCCTGGGAAGGTCGAAGGGTCTTCCCTGAGGAGAGTGGTGGGTGCAGGGAGAGAGCAGGCCTGCTTCCCATCCTCAGTCCACCTCCCAGGTGGCGGGGGATGGGCTGGCTGCCTGGGAAAACTGGAGCCCCCAGGCTCACGCTGGCCCCACACTGTAGGGCCCTCTGCCCTGACCATGCAGGTGGGGGTCTAGATCCTAGCCCTCCCCCTTCCCATAGCTGTGGTTCAGGCCACCAGTTCATCCCCCCCTACCAGATCCTGGGTCCAGGTTCCCCCAGACCTGACGTTCCTGCACCCATGCTTCCCCCAGGTGGAGCCCCACGCCACCATTGCGGAGATCAAGAACCTCTTCACCAAGAACCGTGAGTCCAAGGCCTGGCTGCACTGCCCCCTATGACCCCTGTGGCCAGGGTCTCTGGGAGGGACCCCATCCTGTGTGCTTCCTTCCGTGGGGCTGCAGAGATGCCCTGAGTGTGTGGGCCCAGGCTTCTCTCGGGAAGCGCCTCTGCATGGCCCTCACAGGAACGCCCTTGCTGGGCTTTAGGAAGGACAAGATCCTGCCCTGCCCGGGCTCTTCCGGCCTGACCTGGAACCATGCAGGCTTCAGAGGCCTTGCCCGGGCATGGGAGCAGCTGTGGGGTCCCTGAACCCCAGGAACCCCTGAGAAGCTGGCACAGCAGGGTGGGCGGTGGGCAGGCTGAGCCCTGCCAGGCCATGGGCTGTAACCACCCGGTTCTCCCCACAGATCCGCAGTGGTACCCTGCCCGCCAGTCCCTCCGTCTGGACCCCAGTGAGTACGGCTGTCGGCTCAGCCCGCCCCCCGGGCTCTTGGGTGGCACTGGGAGAAGGCCCAGGCAGCCCCTGAGCCTTGGCCCGCCTCTCTGCAGAGGGCAAGTCCCTGAAGGACGAGGATGTGCTACAGAAGCTGCCTGTGGGCACCACGGCCACACTGTACTTCCGGGACCTGGGGGCCCAGATCAGCTGGGTGACGGTGAGTCCTGACCCGCCCACGGCCTCTTCTGCCATCAGCCACGTTGGGACGGCTGACCTTTCCCCCCGTACGCTCAGGTCTTCCTGACGGAGTATGCGGGGCCCCTTTTCATCTACCTGCTCTTCTACTTCCGAGTGCCCTTCATCTACGGCCACAAATACGACTTCACGTCCAGTCGGCACAACGTGGTGCAGTGAGTGGGGACGGGTGGCGGCGGGGCCGGCGAGGGAGGGCACCGGAAGACCTGCTGGCCAGTCCCCGCTGAGCCTGCCCCCCCCACCAGCCTCGCCTGCCTCTGCCACTCATTCCACTACATCAAGCGCCTGCTGGAGACGCTGTTCGTGCACCGCTTCTCCCACGGCACCATGCCTCTGCGCAACATCTTCAAGGTGAGTCCGCCCCGCCCACGCCGGCCGCACCCCAGAGCCCCGCCCA